CGCTAGCACTATTTGTTTCTTCAGTGATATCTTTCTCATAATCTTCTAAAATATTATCATCATTAACATTGCTTAAATTATTCTGTTCATAAATAAAATAAATCTATTTGTATATTTTAACTTTTTCAAGTAAATATTGTTATGGACAAAATCGTGACCTCAAAACTTTGAATAATTAATGTGAAACAATGCACGATTGATCTATGAATCATTACTACAATACCTCAGAACCCACGATTTTCGAACATCGATTATCTGCAAGTAAACCTGTTAAAGGCAAGCCCTCTGAATTGAAGTATTAAGATCAATCTTGTGAAAGCTAAGCCTCTATCGAACTACCTCATTGAGGAAAAAGACACTTATATGATTTGGTTGACAGCTGTCAAGATAATATTATCTTGTTGGGTTAAGTGTGTAGCCATGAAAGAAATAATGTAAATGAGTCAATAAGTAAATCAATAGAATTATGGGTAAAGAACGATGACGGCATAGAAGCCTTCATTTGACTTGTCTTCTTTTTTCCTTCTGTTGAATACTTCAATAAAATAGCTGTATGTAAAGAGTAGAGAATTAGACTAGAAAAGGGTTATCTGGCTTGAGTTCAATGACGGTATAATGAAATGAATGAATGAGAAATTTTGATTTTGTCTTTTCTAGCTCTGTAAATTTGGTATAAATAAGAGATTAAATTCCTCTTGCCAAAGTATGATCTTGAATATAATTTGCCCCTACATAATAAATAAAAGGTCCTTTGTGTTAATAAACTATAACGTTCTTTAAGTCTGCCAAATTACCTGTTGTAATAAATACTCAACTATAGCCTTAGATCGTGCCAAATTGATTCTGCTTCTGAACCGTTGAGTAATTTTAAATGATGTTTTATCTCTGTATATATGGTTGTCTATTTGATCTATAACAATATTCTCTTTCAAAGCCAGCTTATAAAAAATACATTAGCTTATTACTAGATACAAAATGAGTGATTCAAGTCTTTGCAAAGGTATTTTTTGTTTTAAATAAAATTAATAGCATGGATCATAATAAAATCAAATTAAAATAAAATTTGAGAAATTGTTTAACCCACTTATATTTGTTTGCTATAAATTCTACTCTTAAAACTGTTCTCTAATCCTAAAAAAACCCAAAAAAATATAACCCAAAGTGTTGTACTTTTCAGCAACTTGTCAGTTTTATCTTCTACAATATCTTATTTTAATCTGATTTCATTTTAATCCACAAAAATTAATATAATAAAGAGATACTTAACTTTAATAAACATCCTCTACTCAAGTTTTTAAGACTCAATTATGCACCGGATGTCATATCACAAAAGAAATATCAGAATTTATTCGATGTGATAAAAGTGATTCTGAGTATGAACATAGTATCTGCAATAAATGCTCTGAAAGATGTAAGAACAAAAAGAAAGATGTAAATTTAAGACCAATATCAGTAAAAAAAATGAAGCTTTTGAAAACTAGCCTTAGTATAGATATTTCAGAATATATTTTAAGCAATGTTAATGATGATAATATTTTAGAAGATTATGAGAAAGATATCACTGAAGAAACAAATAGTGCTAGCG